CCAATATCAAATCCAAGACAAAAAAGGTACAAATTAATTAACTCTCCTCAAATCACACTTAAACTCACATCACCAATCAATGTGGGATTCTGTGAGCTGAGACTTGCTGCCAGTAGATGCTTGCTCAGATGCAAATCAGCTGCTTGTGTTGTCCTGGAAGTCAAATCATTAGTCAAACCACAACCATTTCAGCCTTTAGGGGCATGAAAAACGGCAGCAACGAAAGAGCAGGAAAAGATAGGAGAATGTGCAACAATTAACTGGTGGAAGGCTGACATGACGGGAAACATGTAAGTGGGTTAGTCAGGTCACAACAAGACATCAGAAGCATAAAGTCAAACACGGTAGAGTTCCAGGATGTAAAAAAAATAAATATATATATCTCAGTATTGATCTTCAGGAATCATTAGGCATGACTGGCAACACAATCTTGAGCTGTATGTCATGAAGTTACTCTGTAACTTCCCCTGTCGTCTATACACAGTCTTCCTGGAAACCCATTAATGATATAATGGCAAAAGAATCTGGAAATAGGTTTCATATAAGTTACTTATTCTGTCATTACTGATGAGGTACATGAACAGATTAATCCCAGAATAAAAAATACACTATGGACACAAAACTAATGAACAAAAATAAAACAAATTATGTCTAATCCATGTTTTGATGACAAGTCAAACTAATTTAAGGATTTATCACTTTTCACTGATTTGTATCAAAGTAAACAGAATAGCTTTGAGTGGTGGACTGCTGGCTGCACCAAACAACATTTTTAAGACGTCACATTTGGCTCTGGGAACTTCCAATGGGCATTTCTCACTGTTTTCTGACATTTTATAGACTAAAGGACTAATCCAATAAAAAAAATAAAAAAAGCTCAACAGGACGCTTCATAGTGAAAATAATAGTTGCAGCCCTACACCGCACCATTCACCCAATGGCAACTGATGAAGAATCCTATCATTAAATGCAATGTCTGTGCAGAAACATCACCGACCAAACACACAAAAAATACTTGACCACAATGCTCTTTAAACAGTCACTGCGCTTTTACAGTCAGCAGGCGAGTTATTACCTGTGTGTATAAATGCCACTCTTATGTTCACTATAAAGGGCAATTCTGGCTCTACTGTTTGCTTGCTGCACTACGCAACAAAGCCAGATTAATAGTTACACTTACAGAACTAATGTTACATAACAGTCTTGCAGATCAACTCCAAAATGATCCAAATACCACAAGTGTATAAGAGACAAAAGGACATTCCTCCAGTGACTTATGGGTTATGCAAGAGTAGTTGAAATGATTGGTTGACTTTCTCATCAACCTTATTTCCAGCTGTTTTCAGGAAAAAAGCTCTGATACCTGATAGCTGATACACTACTTACCCATCACCAACTGGCAAGTAAAGTGACTAGCTGATGAACGTTTAGCATTTAGCAGCAAAAGAGTCAGACATTTGCTTCAGGAGTTCATAGGGTACTATAACAGAGCTAAAAGGAGGAGGTGTGTAAATACTGTAAAAACTGTTTGCTGACACTATTGCCATGACAACTTTATAAGGTAGAGGCATGGCAGCCTCTGCCGTCAGTGTGAGAATGTGTGTGAACGTGTGAATGTGACATGTAGCAGAAAGTGGGACTACTGGTCGGAAGACTAGAAAGGCACCATAAAAATGCATGTGGGTACCATAATGTCAGCGTTGGGTTTACAGCTTGTTGCACAAGTGGCCAAAAGATCAATATAAAGAGACTCAAAATGAGTATACAAAATGTTTTCACTTTTCATCTTATGGAGGACTGAACTGCTTTAACATCCTCAAACTGACACTCATCTAAAAACAACTGTGGAAAAAATGTATAGGTGCAACAGACGCAGCGAGTTCATTTACAGACTGCTTTTTGACAAATCACTCAGCACACAGCATGAACACTGATAAACACAACGAAGACAACAATATTCAAGTGAGCCAAAGACCCCTACGCATGTGACGTGTGCTCGTGGAGCCTCATCAGCCTTTCACTGCTGCTGTGACTTTCTCATGAGGTCGGCCTTTATCATCCTCCCCACTGCCTCAAGGCGGCTTGCGGAGATGCGGGCCCTGCTCAGACAGGTTGGGCAACATACTGCTGTCAGGACACATGCTCAGTTAAGCGCTCTTTAAAACACCAACACAATGACACAAAGAAATATCTCAGACGAAAAAAAAAGAAGGTGAAAAAAAGAAAAGAAGCAGACTCCCCCCCACCCCCCAACTTTCTGTTGTGCTTAAGTTGGAAACCCATTGTTTGAAACCAAATTATAGACAGGAGAAGAAAAAGGATGAAAGAGACGGAGAGTAATCTGCTGTGATCTGTGAGGAATGTGTTTGAGAAACACACTTCATGCACATTCATGGTGAATCAAGAGCACATAAGGTGAACCCTCTGCTGCGGTTGGCATTTATTTCCTGAGGGGTAACTATTTCTCTTAACCTTACGTCTTTGTTCTTGACAAAGTCATGTTTTGCATAACATCAAACACTGCATGTTACTGCAACGAGAAACAGGAGAAAAAGCAGTTGACTTGTCTCGAGCGAAACCTCAGAGGAAACACCAAAAGTCACATAAACCATGCTGTTACAGAAGTATCACATGGTGTTTTTATGTTAAAATATAGACTTCTAAGTTGTTTTATTCGAAGCAATAATGTTGACTATCAGATGATTCTTACAAAGATTTGTCTTAAGATGCTGAAGTCACTGATTGACAACTAAAACCTGTGCTCATGCTCGGGTTTTCATCTGCATTACATTGTGATTTGTGGAATCCAACAAGCACACAAACTAGTTCATTTGGGCTATAAAATAATTCTTCTCTGTTTATGACTGACCTAGATTTATCTGCAGCAAGATAGGCAGAGCAGGTACACAGCGTGTTGGGTATTTGAGCATTTGTGTAGATTTTTCATTGAACGGAAAACCGAGTATGTCATTTTCTGCCACTAGGGGGTCTCGCACATCAAAACAATAACAAAAGTTGTAGTTTGATGACGTTGTGAAGTAGTGTGGGGTCGTGGGAGTTCATTGTTAAACCACCACCCTTGCAGACGAAAATCCATCTGACGTGACGCAGAAATCGTAATCGTAAAATTATTCGCATTCGCCTACTTCCTTCCTCACTCTCTGACGCATCCCGTGTATACCCAAAAGTTATAGCAACTAGAGACAAGCAAGCAAACGGAAATATGACTCTGGGTTTAAACATTGTTGGAAAACAGAATATATAGCATATAGCACGTCTAGCGCTTTCAGACATTCTAACGTGAAAATGTTAAATATTACATCACAATCAGAATTTATACAAAACTGGATGGCTTAGATAGAAAAAAGACAATTGGTAAAGACATAGCTACATACAGAAAATATTTTAAAAAGAAGACAACAAGGCAAGACAAACTCCTGATCCATCCAAAAGTGAGTATCTGACTTTCACTGCTGCACATAGCCTTTAGGACTCCTGCACCTGTCCAGGTGACAATGCCAATAAAGTCGGCTCAAAACAACTCCAGCATGTGACCGCTTACACTCCACGTTTGCATAAAAATCAACAGTATAAGCCGGGGCCTACTCAACACGTGACGCTTTGTGCGGAATATGTTGCACGCAGGTAATCATATCCACCTACATCGACACCACCGGAGTACAAAAAAAAAAAGCAACCAAGAGCCAGGTGAACCAACATCTTCACCGTAACAAATCCAGTGGGGGCTCTGCATTTGCTGGTCATGTGGGACCCACAGAGGAGCGGAGCAGTTTCAGCCTCAGGTGTCGGGGTCTGCCGCCTGTTTACCAAACACCTGGTACGAGGCCAAACTCAGCACCGTATGAAGGCGTCCGGTTGCTGTTTGTGTTCTGTTGTGATCACGCAGGGCCAATTCACAATTCACCGCCATTTAACTTTAATGCAGCTGTCATGTCTCTGCTGTGATCAGTTGTATCGTGTTTAACAAAGCAGGCGATGGGGGTGGTCATGAAACGTTCTTTATCCTCTAGTATTACCGATTTCCTACTTTAATCATGCAACACTCCTCTGCTACAACATGACATGAGTCACTTCCTGAAATGTTCAGGCACATTTCTGATATCAGAGCATCCAGTATTCACCGACTATCTTGGGCAGACAGACAGATCTACAAAGGAATGTGATGATTGATGGAGAAGAAGCCATTTTACAGACTTGTCTAAAAGTCAACCTGCTTCTCCATCATGTGATCAAATCCCATGACTGAACAGCTTCGACAGGTGGGTTCAGTATTCATAATCTGAGGAAACAAGCAGGAAACCGCGTGTGTGCTTCAGCTCTATACTGACCCAGCTTAGTGTATGTGTACTATCAAAATAATATGAAATAAACTTTGGAGTATATTCATATCAACACAGTGTGTATACAAAGCTTATTTTCTACATCCTGAAATAACTGTAAGCTCATATCATAAACATAAAGTAAATACAATCAACGTAAGTGCATTGTGTGTATGAGAATGACATTATAGAATCTTAAAAGCAACATAAATCAATAGCAGCTTCAAACTGAATCTACTAAAATAAATGTTCCTTACATTGCACAAGTACAAATAAAGTTGTATTTGAATTATTTATAATGCACAACTGCCACTAGTTGCCCCAAACACCGTTTACACATGGCCTTTACCTGCGTTTTCTAACATGTCAGGTGTGTATGTAGGACTTTAACCTGCCTGTACAGGTGAGCTGCGTCCTTTCACAGGTAAAACCAGCCGGGCAATGTGCACACCGTGCAGCTTAGCGCCAATTAAAGGTTGTTAACAGGTTAGTTTATCCTCAAAACACTGTTCATTTTGACTGAAGCAGCCTCTGCAGCCACACATGAAAGTGAAGGTAAAAAAAAATGAATAGTGAACAGTTATCAAAGCACCCAGAGAGGCCGGACCTCCGGTTCACCGGGAGCCCGGCCGTCCTCAGCGGGTTGGCGGAGACTCTCACCGCGGGTTTGACGTCCTCAAACACGGACGTGTCGTCAGCGCCGTCCGCTCCCGACATCCTCACCGGCTTCAGCTGCGTGAAAACCGCCCTTTCGTCTGTCGTATGCGGCGGATTCATGGCCAGTCCTACACTCGTTGCCATTACAATGATTGTTTAAACAGATGTATCTTCCTGTGAGTTTGGGTTATACTCGCATAAAGTAGTTATTACTATTAACTGCGTTTTGTTGGAGCTGAAAGCTAAGGAACAATCCCACAGCCCTCCCCTCTCTTCTGACTCACAGGTAGGTTTTACCTGAGCTCAAGTATGGACCTGCTACCTGGAGGCGACGGTGAATACACAGCACAGCCAATGAGAGCAGAAAGAAAAGTCCTGTGGTCCAATCAGCTGCGTGGAGGGAGGGACTTACCTGAGAGATTCAAGGAAAGAGGAAAACAACTGGAGGGCATCAGGCAAAGTATTGTCCTCTCACCTGAACACACACACACACACACACACACACACACACACACACACACACACACACACACACACGACAATAACTACAAGCTTGATTTCTACAGTCAAGCTGATCTTTTTTTTTTGTTCTTTTAATAGAAATCTGCTCTGATAAAAGCGAATTCAAATTAGCTGGATTATATTTTTAAAGTAATTTCTACCACAAACTACCTGAAGGTTTTTTTTTTCTTTCCTGGTCATGTTTCTTGTTTGGGATTTTTGCAATAACGTGCATCCCTGCCACGCAGAAAGCAATACATGAGTCACGCTGATAAAGTTCACCTGTGGCCATGCACACCGTTAAAACCTATTGTACTCAACAATAGACTGGTAAAATAGTGAAACTGGAAAGGTACATCTGGGACAACAGTCACGTCTGTACTGTTTTACATCCTACTAACATGAAGTGCTGTTCTTTGGTCTTATCTCTTTTTTTACAGTGTGTGCACGCCAACACACAGGAAACAATTAAAAGTCGCCATGACTCTGCTTTTCTTTGCAAGTTACTGCAGCTTCGGCATATGATGAAGCTTTAGTCATGGTGTGTAATGGGAGCTACACACAAGAATTGTTTCATAGAAGTATAATAGAAACATATAAAGACAAAGATCATATTTGTGAGATCTTTGAAACAAGATAAAACATTTAATACATTTGTTTTATGAATCAGTGATCTGTGGCCAGAGATGGAAACACCTACAAAGCCAGAAGGTTTTCAGTAATGCTCCTCATCCATGTATTTTGCTTCACAGTGTTTTTTGTAGCTTTTAATATGTTACATTATACAAAAGATACACAAAGGGAGTATAATTTTCACTCATGGGACATTTGGTCACGTGAAATAAACGCTGGCTCAGTACATGTGACATGTTTTCAGAGGCTTGGCTCCAACTAGATGCAACAGGATAAACTGTGCGCATTAATGTGCGTCTTCCCTTTTCTAAAACAATGTACATGCTTATTTGTTTTAAAGACACATGAATGAATATTATCTACTCTTCAAAAACATTTCTGGTATTTCTTTATTTAAAAAGATGACACACCCTTACGTACGAAATAGCGATGAGGCTATTTTAACCAGTTGCCAAGGGTAAGATAGTGATGCAACACAACTTCTTTACTCAACTTTGACAAACACAACTAATTTTGGCTCTTGCTTCAGTTGGCCATGCCCTCTTCATCTTCAACACAAATTGGTGAGAAGAGTCTTAATCTTGACGGCAGACAGACAGACAGACAGACAGACAGACAGATACAGTTAGGACATGAATGAATGAATCTTAAATAATCAACGAATAAATCAACCTAAGCAGGGGCAGATCTAGAGAAATATATTGTACATGGAGGGGGCCAAGAGGGTGGCATGGAGCCTATATTAACATTGTGTTACCCCTAGTAAAAACGTACCACTGGGGCGTAATTGTCTGATTGTATCATTTTACTGCTGTCAAACCTGTAGAGAAAATAGTAAACCGTGAGAAAATTCAGTACTGATGTGGATTCTGTTGAATATCATAACAAGAACTTTTCTGATCTGGTCTTGTTCGTCCCACTGGTTGGCCCGCATATTTGCAGAGGATAATTATACCACAGTTCAACATCACAAGCTTGTACAATACCTACATGTTAAACAAATGTCAGAATTGTATGAGGGCTAGTTGACAATTAAAAATACCAGCCAAGTTTTGCCTAACCCTTCATGTTTTCCATCACCAGCATGGAGGTTCAACCTGCAGTGGGGATCCTAGCCTATCTGCTGTCTTAGCATGAGGCTGGTGTTATTTATTTTTCAACAAATCCCAGAAAAAGACCAAACCCAACAACATAATAGCCCACTTGTCAACAATTTACAAACCCACCCAAATCGCTAACATGCTCCTGTTATGTAAGTATAATGTTTAGCATGTTTAACATCTTTTTTTATTGCATTCTGCATATGTAAAAAAATAAAAAAATCTCTTTGTGATATTCACAAATGATCCTGAGAGGAAATTCATCCAATAGTTGTTGAGCTATTTCACTTTAAAGGTCCAGTGTGGATTTAGTGGCATCTAGTGGTGAAGTTGCGGATTGCAACCATTTGAATACAGCTCAGCCTCCGAAGCGTGAAGGAAAAACTACGGTGTTCGTTCTGGGCTACTATTAAAACATGGCAGAAGAGGAAGAGGAAGAGGACACGCTCCCTCCATAGATAAAAACAGCTAATTTTAAGGTAATGAGAAACCCAGTGATTCATATTTTCAGGTGATTACACACTAGTGAAAACATACCTATGAATATTATATTCCATTTCCTGGCAATAGATCCTACTGAATGTTACACACTAGACCTTTAACGAAATGAAGAATACATACTTAAATCTCGTATGTTTGTTAATTCAAAGCAAAATGTAATATTTTGAAACCTCTGTGCAACATTTGGGAACCATAACTCAGTTATGGCTGCTGAGCCTGTCAGCTCGGACTTTGCAAATGATGAGGAGTGGCTTCTAGTACGTTTTGTGGTTACCAAGTAGTATTTTATGAAGCTTTTATTAAGAAACCTTTATTAGATTTATGCACCTGTTTTTGAGGGGTCAGACAGGTTGGAGCCACAGAACTAGATCTGTGAGCTACATTATCGATGATTAAGATTTAATTACTCCTTTTAAAATGGGCTTATTCTACTTTTGTTATGCTTTCATTACGCAATCATACCACAGGGAATTGTTTCTAAATGATACTCCACCCACAAGCTACCCTTTGTGTATGAAGGGCTCACTCCCAATATGCTTAAAAGGAGGCTGTAACAAATTTGTGTTTGCTCATTCATAAAACTGAACAAACAACTTCCACAGTATTGTGCTTCACATTCTCCAACCATATGCTTGGCCAACTATTCATATTTCTGCTAAATATTGCCAAATACACTGCTTCAATCTCAATCCTCACACATGAAAAGCCCACAATCAGACATGTATATGTTCTACTGCTGTTAAACAGTTGACTCCAAACTTAAAACCAATCTCCAATGGTGCGTACCATCATTAAATCAAATATATCTCATCTCACAATGAACAGGGTGACGCAGGTTTCAGTAAGTATAGACTCAGTAGTGCTATATAGTTTCATGAAAAGGCTTTCTCACGCTGATGTCTTGTATCAGCCCTGATATGCATAGTGAGTGAGTCAATAATGTATAAAACATAAATAACGAAATTTGAATAAAGTTCTTAATGGTTCGATTTGTGAGAAGATTTAAAAAAACAAAATCAATTTTTTTTTTGCATTTAACAGCTTCCCAAATTGTATTCACAGTAATCCTCACTGACCTTCTTTACTGGAAAGGTTTATTTATCTTCTCTGTCTTTTAACATGGAAGTCAAACAAATAGATTGAATGACTTGATTTTCCAGTCATGCAGCAGAGGCATATCAGATAACGCAGTATGTAAAATAAAAACTAAAAGAAAATTAAACATGATCATAACAACAGGCTGCAGGTTGGGACTAAGGCCAAAACTGTAAAACCACTTCCATTTTGTCAGTTGAAATTTGTGTGTGCATTTGTAACATGTCTGCACTAGGTGGATGAAAACAGTGACATATAGAGAAAGAGGGTGTACAAAAAAATGAAATGGAAGGAGTATTTATTAAGTTTTTTTTATGCTTTATTATCTAATTGGAGGGGAAGCCATATCTGAGGATGAGAGAAGACAAAGGATACAATGCATTCCTCTTTCTCCTCAGTCTCTCTCTCTCTCTAGCGACAGTGTGTTGTAATTAGGCAGAGAGCATATGAGGACAACGTTTCCACACTCAGCTGGTTAACGCCCTCCAGAGAAACAGGGTTCAACAGAGCTAAGGGTTGCTGATCAATACCAACAACTGATTAATGTGAGATTTCTGGGTTTCAGTTCTCATTTGACTCAGTCAAGAAAGAGACAGTGTTAAATGTAAAAATGCAAATTAGCCAGTTTCATCTGGGTTACAGTGCATGGGCAAGTTCCACCTGATGACAAATAGGAGAAAAATGCAGCTCATGCCAGCTACACGTGCTACTGACTGTGCGGTGAGAATATCTGGAACATCATGGGTAACTGTCAATCAAATGACTGTCATGTGTATCATAATTTTTTTAGTAATCCATTTAAAGCATGATAGTATGATTGAATAAAGTAATGTTGTAGTAATGTAAACGTTGATTTTTTTTCCCGTTTCCTTCCATCTTTTCTAAGATAGTATTTGATTATGAAAAAAGGTGTCATAAAAGAACTGGAAATGTATTTAATGAGTTTGGTCCTGCAGATATTTACTCAGAATGGCCCCTGTAATTGTTATTATTCAGCTTTATTTGATTGAAATGTTTGCAGCAAAACTGTTTTAAAATGTATTTTTAAAAACTCAACATCAATTTATGTGGATGTTATATTTAAAATATTTTCACTGATTTACTTTGCTGTCGTAGAGCCCATTCCAACGGGGAACTGAGGCTGTTACTTGTTGTGGATCAGGGCAGCATAGGCCAGCAACTGTTCAGCAAGTGAAACCCACTGCACTGGTTTGGGTGGAACAAATGACATCTTTTTTTTTTTTTTTTATTGGTTCGACGAATTTATTGTGTCATTTTCGCAATAAATGTCTGATCATAACCACACTTAATTCCAACCCAAAAATAGCAACTTTAATGGCAATATTTTCAACACTTTGTAAATTTTGACACTTGGGTAAATGCTTACTATTATGTACACAAGACCCTAAGGCTATTGTGTATTTGCTTTAAGGAAAATCTTCTTTTGTGGGTATGTACAGTAGTAC